CTAGGCGAGGACGCTGACAAAATGCAGAGTCTTCTGAACACCTTGAGCTGCAATCTACGAATGTTTGGCATGCGATTCGCTCCCGCTAAATGTAAGATGATGTTACAGGATTGGACTACACCGACTCCTAGATTAGAAATAGGAAGTGAAGTGGTAGAGCACGTTGACCGCTTCAATTACTTGGGAAGTACCATCAGCCCCAACAGGTTGATCTCTGACGAAATCTCAGCACGAATACAGAGGGCTAGTTTCGCATATGCCAGTTTACGCCGTCTCTGGCGTAGACGTGATATCCGACTATCGACCAAAGGGCGTGTGTACTGCTCAACAGTCCGCTCCGTCCTCCTTTATGGCTGTGAGACCTGGCCATTGAGAGTGGAAGACATGAAAAGATTAGCTGTCTTTGATCATAGGTGTCTGCGTTCTATCTCCCGTGTGAAGTGGTATAATAAGGTGAGCAATATTGAGGTTAGGCGTCGAGTGCTAGGTAAGGCGGGGAAATCAGTCGACGAAACTGTGAAATTACATCGACTGAGATGGTTAGGACATGTGTTACGTATGCCTAGTTATCGCCTTCCTCGACGGGCAATGTTAGCTGATATAGGGTCAGGCTGGAAAAGAGCTAGCGGCGGTCAAACCAAAACATGGCACCAGTCAATGAAATCTACAACAGTTAGTCTAAGCCACGTAGGAAGGTGTAGACTTCCTGGTTGGGGTCCTCGGGACGGTAAAAACCAATGGTTGGAAACAATTGGTGATATGGCTCAAAATCGTTCTCAATGGCTGGCGCAGATGCATCCACTCCTTGTGACTTATGATTTCCAATGAAACTGTTTTGTTCTTCGTTATTACTATTCCTTTGTCTCACACCTCTGTTTACTGTCTATATTATGCATTTCTCCTACTTTCTTCTCTTCCTTTGTGTGCTACATGGAGTGTGGCGACTTGAACTGCCGCACATATGTGCAAAGTTCTATGTCGAAAACAGACAGACAGACAGACATTCTTAACAAATAAGAAATAATGGTGGTATTCAAATATTTAAACTGACTATTGCTGCAGTTTCAAAGACTATTGACCCAACTAGACAAAAAATATCTTATCTACAAAATAAATCTTAGTGACTGTGATGTCAACTACATAGTTCATTCCAGTAGATCGGGGTGAATTAATTTATCAGAACTTAGGAATTTAGTTAAGTGTAGAATGATTTATCCCGAGAGAATGATAGACATAGAAAATAAGTCAGCAGCTGTGGTGCATGCACTTACGCACAATCATACAATGGGATGCAACACAGCTACAGTCCTAAGATTTGATATAGTTACGTGTACGAAGAAGTTGATCACTGAATCCTTTTTCATCAAATCTACACCACCAATAAATTAAAACAATTAGTCCCTTTGATAAATTTGAATAAGGCATTAAGACAAATTTCGCGAGATGATATCAATAGACTTCAATCTTCGCCTACCCTGGACTACATGACCTATCGAAATATTATTGGTCATTAGTATGTACTTTTGTTTTTATTTAACTGAGTAATTGTCATGAACTTTATTTTATTATTGTTAAACATGTTAGTTGTAAAGCGGTTGTAAAGAAACCACCAATAAAATCAAATAATAAAATCTGGGATTTATATCAGCAAATTGATATGACTATGGGCACTAAATTGTGCTCGAAATGTTATTAATAAATAAATAAATAATATCATGCCCTGTGTGTTTCATAAAATCAAATTATTCTATCATGTAATTATACCCTACCACAGTGTCCAAATTCTATTAATATATGAAGTTCATCATATTTCAGCTTGGAAAGGATTGTGTAAACCTTCATTCTGTCCCGCCAATTTATTGTTTTGGCGAGTGCATGTGAACTGATCTACGTCGAAAATGGTTTATATTTACAAATCCGCTTGGCAAATAGACACATATTAACCAATGTTATTGTACTTCATTTTAATGGATACTGCAAAATGTAGACAGTAGGAATTCGTTTAAAATCATCCAGGTGCCTACTCTACTGTGCATTTTCCCAAAGTAAATGTTATAAACGGCTTAAATCATATCTAGGTATTCAAAAAAATGACAATTACCTACTTTGCATTTGCACTAAGTAGATAATTACGGTACTAAAGTAAAAAAAATTATGCAAATTTTTGTTACGTCATTGGATTGCTCATATGTGTTCTGATTTGAAGCCTTAATTTTTTTTCTCATTTGGATATTGTTTATTTTACTCTTTAATCTAGTGAAAATCCTGTAGAATGTTTACAGTCACTTAACCTACTATACTGACATTCTATTTCTGGTAAACTGATGTCTCCATCCGCTTTCTTTTTCCAAAAATAATTATCTTTTGAATAGTCAGTCACTATAGCACCCCAACAATTTGGTCTACTTTATCTATTTGTATTACCCCTGACCTATGTGACCTGTTGTTCTTGTTAGCATTTTCATATCAAGCAGGTAAAATGATGTTCATTTTTCTGTTGTATACATTTTGATATTGTTTTATTTGTAAGTAACTGAAGAGAAACTAGAAGTTATAAAACTGTATTCATATTTTTCTGTGAAACATTTTTCACACTTACCCCTTTTTTCAGTTGGATTATTTGTTTGAAATAAAAACAGCTTTTGATATTCTTACTAATATAGAGATGGTGCTTGATGTTTATGTGGCTCCTAATTAACTTAAGGACTGAAATTCAATGATTAGGAAATCAAAAAAGGTTCAGGTATATTAGGTAATTAATAATTTAAAGACTTTCAGTGTGTCGAGAACTAGTTTAACGTGTGAAAAATACTATAAAACACAAAATAATTGAGCAAAGAATATCCTTTTCGATAATTTCCTCTTCTGGCTCCGGAAATCCAACGAGAAACATCATCCTGTGTGGTTAAGTAAAGGACAAACAAAATCTATTCGTAGCGCTATTCTATCTCATCTTGTGGATACAGAACACAAGATTGACGTTAACCATGCTTTCAGGGTCATTTACCGCATACCAACAAATCTCAATTTCGCCTTAAGAGTTCGACTACTAAATATTGCTGAAGCTGTTGGGATCCATATTAACAAGCCTAATTTGTGCGTCCACACGAAGTTATTTCAGACATTATCCTTACCTTGGCCATCTAGATTTGAATGATCATGAAAGTTTTTGGAATTTTCCTAATTTTAGTTGATATTCTATTTGCTATGTTATTATTATTATTATTATAACTTAAGCATCTTTAATGAACTGTAATTCCATTGATCTTACTTTACAAATCGATATTATTTAAAAAACACTAATATTGTTATTGACTACTAATCTAGAATATTCTATGTATATAAACATATATATAATTGTAGAGCCAGAAGAGGAAATTACCGAAAAGGATATTCTTTGCTCAATTATTTTGTGTTTTATAGATGTCTGAATGAATATTTCCGTTATATTGAAAAATACTACTCATCTAAAACGAATTCGAAAACAAATTCAATAAATGCTGTGTTATTTCCAACATAGGTCACATGTAACAGGACCTTTCTGAAACCTTCTAGATTTGAATTTTTCTTGTCTCAGTTGTAATTAGCGACAGAGACAATGTTAAGCGTGAAACTTATGACTTGCTTTGTTATTAACAACATAATTTTAGGCTCTTTTATTCCTCTCTTACTTTGTATTCTTTAGTGAACTCCTTCTTAAACATACTTAGCTACCTTAGCTTCCTTTTTGTACTTTACTATATTCCTTCTATTGTGTATCCACTGGTTCCGACTCTATTAGCACTATGAGTATTACAAAATTGTCCTGTCATTAACCATCATGTAATTATTAGTTTTGTGGTTGTTGTTTTCTTATTTTCTATACTTTTCGGCAATATTAAACTGACAATCATTGGTTGTGAACGCCATAGTCACCACCTTAAAAAACTTTGTATTATTCAGGATTACTCACACTACCACTACAAACACTGCATTAGACCTGACAATAAAAAACAAAACAACAACCCTGAAATGTTATTTTATGATTGTTTAGAGTTGTTTCAACCAAATTAACTGATCATCTTGGCGATAAACATTCTTAAATATCATTTCATAACTTCTTGTATGAACTACAGCTTTACCGTCACCATGCATAATCATATCATAGCTTCCACTACCCAATACTGAGTTATTATTATATGCTGTTTATTTTCCTTTCTACTTCTTGGTATTTTTTCGCATTTATAATTATTTTTGTGTTTTTCCTGTTTGTTTTTTTCGTTTTTTTCTTTTGCTGTTGGTGTCTTTAGATTTATTTATTTTTTGAAATACTCCTTTTAAATGTTTGTAAAATTAGATGCAAATATTGTAGATATGTGCTGAAAATTCCACACTGTACCACTAGTACTGTTTCTGGAATAAAGCAAATTATTATTATTATTATTAATATATCGAGAGAAAAAAAAATGTTGGAATGAGATTCTGAAGTAAGCTACTCAACAGTAATAAAAACAACCATTTAGGATAAACGAACCAGTACCTGTAATTCCATCTAAGTTAGGTTAGGTTTTAATATTTTTAATAGCAAATGTAAACTAACGTTACTGCTGAATCAGATTTCAGTGACATTCATCAGATGATATTAGGGTTGAATCCTTAAACTAATCTTAGGGAATACAAATACCATATCGATGTATGCGCAAATGTGATAGCAGGATCATCTATCAGTGTAGTTGACCTAGCTGGCACTAATCCGCCTTATGCAAGAAGATCAGAGTAAAGGCACTGTTATTTGTGAAGAATGAGTTTAAGTAAAATCGATATACTAACTTAATATAAATATGTGGAAGTTTTTACACTGTTAATTCATAACTGTGAATACATTTCTTCTTACGCTGACGTCGTAGGTTCATTATTCCATGATCTCTAACTCCTATTTTGGTTAGAATTTAAGGTCTATCTGGAAAGTTCAAGTAATAAATCACAATAAAGAATGCTTTTAATCAAATAAAATAACCTACTTTTTCATAACTTTGTGCTGATAAAACTACAACGAATATATAAACACCAGAGACAGGTACAGTGAATACGCCTGTTGTATTGTCATATCCATTGCCAAGATTCAACATAACAGATTCAAATACTAATTGACAATTTTTATTTGTTGGTTTACTTTCGATGCTTTTTGACAATCCTGCATAGAAGGCGATTTGATATTCTATCGGTCTAGGTATCCATACTGGTTGCATTTTCGCTGTAATAGAAGAAAAATGGGTTTTGATTAATATTCAAAGTATTTGTAATTATAACAATATCTCACATTTTTTACATAATTAGTCAAAATATCAGAAAATATATAAATAATTTTTAGATTTGATTGGATAGATAGGTATATCCGAAGTGGTTTACATGTCCTCAAACCAAATCCTTGAGTTGTTATGCATACACACTGCTGGGTATTATAAATTAGGATGATAACCTCTTGTCCGTTTTGTGTGACACTGAATCTAGTGCTGGTTAGTGACTATACCCACTTTGTAATAGAACCATCTGCTCCGGCTGTCCGAGTCGAGTCTAACAGGGTAGAGGTCTGACTAGCTGGTCCTAAAACGTCCATTGTGTAGATCAGTTCGATCTGGCTAGCAGGCACTACAGGTCGACGTGAGAGGTTTCTAGTTGCACATGCCAGTCAGTAGTATATACCATAATGTGATTACATTGGAACACAATAGTGTTGCTAAATTTTATTCAATATAATTGACAAGGGTTCATTATAGACTAATTTCTTGAGAATAAATTGAATAGTGTAACTAGTAAACTAAATATGACTGTTTTATGGTTAGTGATCTCTGATATATTGGGATCTTAGATTTAAATATTCAGTATTTAATTGATAAGTCACGTCTTCGAACGCCTCATTCTTTAACCAAATTTGAGTGTATGTAAATCAATTTCCCAAATATGAAGCATTCATTGTATGATATTGCAGATGATTCATAAGTTGTATGTATTTCCAGTCAACTACTCTTTTAAACTTTTAAAGAAAACCAGTAGAAATGAATAGAACATAATTACTTGGACCTCACTAACCATCAGCAAATTTTTGATGTACTTCACAATAAGCCACACTTATTGTGTTAGAGCTAATGGTACTACTTAGCTGTCCAAGATGAAGAGAGATTAGAATCTACAGCCCCGATTGTTGAAATCTAAGGGCTGTAACCAGTCATATATATATATACTACTGTGGTGAGAGCTGTCTACTAGCCAAATTGGTAGACAGAAATTTACGTCAATATCTACGTTCCCAAGATTTGTCGTGAGAAAATGTGAACAAAGATTGATCCAAAACCGACCACAGCGGACTTTGCGTAGGCGGATGCAGTTAACAGATGGAGGATTTGACATTCAAGAAACAGTCACAAATAGATGAAAGATTAACTTTACGTGAGAAACAACCAATCGGAAGACTGTGTTTGTTTGCTTAAATATCCATAGTAATGTACATGCAAATATATAAATATGCGTTGATTTCCTTAATAAATGATCTGTTGCCTGACTCTTGCCTTCTGTCGTTACACTACTACTGGAGAGAAGAGTTCGACTGATAGTCTTTACATGCTAAGTACAAACCCTCTAAAATTACAATCACTCCAATCCAAATAGAATTATTATTGATCGCATGAATAAAAATACTAAAGGCAATATAAACAAACGTGTGAATTTCAAATGAGATTATTCTATTGATCACCATTTGGTAGGATCGGAGGTCATATACAGTATTTATTAATTTTTAAGATAAAATATTACTATGTAAATCAGATGATCTGCAATTGCACGATAATTTAAATGGTAGCCTTGTTTTGTCTGTAATTTCACGATGTTTACATTACCAGAGGTGACGTGATCAATTTCTTGTGTCATACGGGCTCTTTAATCGATAGCTCCAATACTACATTGGATTGTATTTTGATACCAATTGTTGAAGGATGATTAGTAGGGTCAATTAGGTTATAAAAGTTGTAAGTGTAAAAGAATGTCACCAGATATCTGTTAAATAAAACGTACCTTAAGTGATCGATTTTTTTCCCAGACATGAATTTCAAGTTAGAAATCAACATGAATGGAAGGGCTGACATGGTGTTATACCATTCAAACACATGTTGTTGTTTTCAGTAAACTAGAATTCAGACACATTTACTCTGGTGTACCGGAATATTCTAACAACATGCCTTATACCACCAACAGGATAAATGTTCATATAGTTGACACGCCTTAAATCAATTGAAGGGCATAAAGGTATTCTACTAACATACAAGTACTGTTAAAGTGACTGTATAACTTTATGCGCAGTGTTGTAACACTCAGAAATGCAAATTTGTAATTGGAATCACGTGCTGGTCTGAATAATGAACATGTGAGTCCTTTACTCTCACGTGACTTTGTTTCTCATATGTCTACATAATATAAACGTTGCTGTTCCTGAATATATATAAAGCTTAACTTCGAAATGACTTGATGAATCACGTTTCAGACAATCACAACGTACATAGAAGAAAAGATGTCGATGCTACCACGATACGATTAATGCAACAGTAAAAAAAAATAGTCTATCGGCTTTCGCTGATTGACTGCCAACTCACTCTATACATTGGTTCATAAGAATGAGATACACAGTTCTAACTCATAATAACAGAAGTAGTAATTTTGACATTACTACATTGGCAATCATGACGAATAAGAGTGGTGATTGACTATTTCAATTACTGTACCGTTTTAAATGTCCAATACTGTTTGTTTCTATTTATTGTAGGTGTATAATCAATGGATTAATGTTGAACACGAATTTCTGATTAGCTGCTATTCCACCATTGAGGATTACAATTACAAATAAGTATTACATTGGGTTATTAAAGAAAATCCGGTTTGTATTACACATAAAATCATTGGTCTCATTTCTAATCCTATCACATTCAAGGTTTTTGATTAAACTTTACTACAAGAAAGTGATTTATAAAGTTAGTCTATCAAATACACACTATCTCCAATACTTTAAGAATGGATTTACCTGATTCACGGCAACCGGAATGCTGCTAAGTTATTATACAGGATGGGGTTGCTAGCCTCATGCCCAACCTTTCCTCTTCACCAGCATTAATTCTGGCCGGGTGGTATAGCGGTTAGGACGCTCGCCAACCATGTACATGGTTCGGGGTTCGATCCCCGGCCGACGCACTCCTTTACTTCGCTAAACCAGAAATAATGCTGGTGAAAGGAAAGGTTGGGCATGAGGCTAGCAACCCCATCCGTAAAAACACTGCTCAGAAACTCAAGCCACTAGCTTGAGCCCTATGTTCCACTGGGAAAGTGAAGGAAAAACAAACATTTCTGGCTTAGCGAGGTAAAGGATTGCGTCGGCCGGGGATCGAATCCCGGACCATGTGTATGGTCGGCGAGCGCCCTAACCGCTATGCCACCGACACACTGCAAATTCTAGTTTATTTATAATGTTATGAAGCTAAATAAAAATGGCGACTTGACGCAGTCGATTTACATGTAAATGTACGTATAAAGTCCAAAGTGGTAAGTCAGATACACTAATTGTATCTTTCTTCTAATTTTATGTCCTCTTTTAGCATCAACTGAGATGCTTTCAGTTACTAGAGTTGAAATTTCTGAGATAACAACTGGAAAGCGGAGTGTACACTGGGGCGTCTCAATGAGTACAGATAAGTTATTAGGAGTAGTTATGTTCCAAAAGAAGAATAAGATATAAAATGATGGATTATTTTATTTATCAGTACTTAAATCGTTATCAATAAATTATTGACTTGTATTCCTCACAGAAGTTCAAATAAACAAAATACAGTTATATTTTTGCGGCATATACAACCTCAAATTTGTTTTTTCTATTGAGGTTTACCAATAGACTTCTAGATTAAGTGACAGTGAGCATTTGTAGGAATGAATTGTGTAGATCTCGTTTTAGTACTACAAAAGTATCATCTACATATCTTAACCATATTTTAAGAGTGAGTATGCTTGAAAAGATGTTATTTTCGAATCTATTCATGAAAAGGTCGGCGACTATTGGGGAGACTGGTGAACCCATAGCAACACCACTTGTCTGTCTATATAAACTCCCTTTAAATGTAAAATAATTACTTTCTAGACAGAATTTCAAGCTCTTAATTATTTCACTGGTGTCCAGTGGACATCTTTTTGATAGCGTTGTATCTGATTCTAGTAGACTGGAAATGACATCAAGACTTTCGGTAATAGGGATACTAGTATATAATGAGTTAATTCATAGCTACCATAATTCTTCTTTATCAATTTCTCGGTGTTCTATTTGGATTTGAATCATTATCAGCTCAAAGGTTTCAGTTGTTTCAAGTCTTCTTAAACGAGCACACTCTCTGATAACGGATGAGAAAGAAAAAGAAGAAGAAATATCAAACATTACTGAAACTCTCAAGCAAAACAACTACCCAAGGAACTTCATCAACAAAATCAACACAGACATTAAGTATGGCCGAAAACGCATTCCGAAAACATGGACCTCAACAGTCGTCATTCCATATAGAGCAGAGACGTCAGATGATATCAGAAGAGTACTCAATCAGCTCGACATTAGAGTTTTCTTCAAAACATCAGACACACTACGAAACAACCTTGTCCATATAAAAGACCAAATCCCTAAAGATTCACTATCTAATTGTGTCTATAAAATAAAATACTTGGAATGTGATGCGATATACATCGGACAAATATCGCTGGTGAGAAATCAAAATCAGAAGAAATGAACACCGCAGAGCGTCTGTCCGACCACCGAGAAATCCGGTTGAACTAGAAAAACTTGAAAAATCATCAGCCATAGGTCTACACGCTATAGAATCAGGTCACAAAATTGATTTTGACAATGTTGAAATAATCCAGAAAAACTTCAGAAATCACAAAGAACGTCTAATATCAGAAGCACTTCATATCAAGTGGAATCCAAATTGCCTGAATAGGAATGATGGACTAAAACAGAATCTGACCTGGTTACAACACCTCCCTCCCCCATGAAGTGACCAAATCAACACGAATGTGATATGCAAGTTCACTATGTAAACACACACTGCTTTCATAATTTTACACACTGATCAAATCCAACAATCTACACTTGGTTTTGTTATATTTACCAATTGACCAACTTGACAACGAAAAATGACTCCAGACTGACGAACGATGATCAAGTTAGTAAACTTTGTTTTGATATCATAACAGGCGTACTATTAACTTTGTTATTTAGTTTAGTGATCTTCTTTGTTATTTTGACTTTCAATATGTCCTTTTAACTTGACCTAAGTTTATTTTCTCACCCCTTAACTCTTTGTTATATATATGCTGAGATTTTGTAAATTCCGGTTTAATAATACTTTGATAAAGCTATTAGCATTAAATAGCGAAACGTCAGTAAAAACAATATCGTTTTGTTTTTCATTCATTGGGAAATACAAAAACCTTTATTATAATGAAGTAGTGGAAAAGTTTGTAAGTTTTTAATTTGTATGTAGGTTCATTAAAATATTCAAGATGAGATTTCTAATTGCACAATGACACACATGATAGTATTCGCCAATTTAGTCACCTCAGGTGATGCCAAGATGTTAATTCGTCCGACTAAATTATGGTTTAAGGCTAATGCGTGATATTCCGCTTTACCCCTGAGAAATATGGCTTCTCCAAACTATGAATTTCCGACATCTTTGAGTGTATGATCGTTGTTATCACTATGGAAAAGTTTACATCCAATGTTGACATTGTAATTAACTTATCTGTTCCAACGTTGAATCTTCCCAATGGAAGTATACTATTCATTGTTAGCTGAACTAGAGTTGGTTGTAACTAATGCCCAGATGAACAACCCATGAGGTCGCATAATGTATTAAGTCAGCATCTTCTAGTACATCATGACTTTATGAATACGATTCTGGAGATCATGTTAATCAGTGACCTCAGACAACTTTTTTTGTACTTCAGAATTGAAATCGGTAGTGATCATGATACAACTTTCATATTCTATCCACTAAACAAAGTAATACAAAGAGACAAACATTTCTTTAAATGCTCTTCAGAAGAGACCGCTTACCTATTCTCTATATTATTCAATGTCTTATATACTCTACATATCGTAATTATGTTTCATTTTCATTTTTGTTGTGAATACTGTGGAAGATATTCATTCAAATTAATAAATTATTGATCATAGTTTTTCTTATACTGTTTGTAAATAAATAACCCATAGAAAATATGGTGTTGTTTTACTCAGCTAGTGACCGAATAACCTTCGCCAGCAGTAAAGATAAAATCACTAGCGATGATAACTATTTGGTCGATAACTACTTATAATTAAATATAGAGTATACTAAGATATAATACAGAGAATTTGTAGCTTAAAATAAGAGTAAAAACTGTCTGATACTCTCGAAGCTTTAATATTTGGTCACATTTTTCAGTGCCATGGTTGTATTGATAAATATTTTGTGAGCTTATGTCTTCATTACATTATGCATAAAGCAATTGGATTTTTCTTCATTTTCATCAGAGGAACAATTAACTGGATAAGTTAACTTTTAAGCACCAGTAAATACCAATGAAGTGCGTTCGCACCAATGACCTTGAAACGCTCACTGAGCAGGTTAGCGAGACCTGGTAAATAATGTTTAAATCGTGAATAAAATATGCTTATTGATGTGTTAATTAATAAGTGGGTTATCTGGTAAGCTTCAGGTTAGGTTTGGGAAAGATTAAGTTAAGGTCGAGGCTAAAGACAAGTTGGGGTTAAGTTAACCTAACAAGGGCGATATTAGGGTTGGGGATATTTTCACGTTAGGGTTAGGTTAGGGAAAGATTAGAATGTGGTTAAATTACTCTGTTGACACTCTAATCCAAAAGTGATAGATATTTTTGTTACACATCGGAGAATGGTATCTTGTGTAACAGTTTAATGCCTTTTAATTCATTATTTTCATGAATATATGTATCCTACACGCAAAAGTCGCCCTTAACATGTGGTTGGTGCGTTCAAGGTCATTTATCCTTTGGTGCCTACTGGTGCTTCAAGTTTAACTTTACCAAATAACTTATATGGCTAATGCTATGGTTAACTCCTTTGTCTTCACTAAAGAATTAAATACTGTAATAAGTAATATTCTGTATGTTTTTCTAATATTGTCGTTCAGTTCTTTGTGAAACACGGTGTACTCCGCTTTAGACACTGTTTCATCTGAAAAGCGAACCAATTACATGTTTTTGTAACATGCCATCTGTTCTTCTCGATATGATTTCATGTCTGTAGCATTTGCTATCTTTACATAATTTCAATGAACGACTGAATACCTACATTTCTTTAAAGGTATGCTAGTAACTTTATTTTCAGTTTTTTAAATAAAATAACGTCTTCTTAACTGAAATATTTATAACAAAACCTTGTGATTCTAGGGGAATATCGGTGTATGTTAGAAAATAAACTTATCTCCGGAATAACAACATTTTAATACAGAAAAATGGAAACATATTTAACCACTTCGTCAGAATTACATTTCTAGCATAGCATTTTAAGTAGTAAATAAATAAATTAATTATTTAATTTCTCACTAAACGAAAATGACTACTCTTACTTGTTTCTCCACGAGGACCAGGTGGTCCAGTTTTTCCTTGTTGTCCTGCAGGTCCAGGAGGTCCTCTAGCTGACCTTACTGGTATACGTACACGACCGAATCCAGATGAACTAGCCCCAACACATTCTAACTGTAGCTGACAGTTAGGTGTACTTCCAGATATATTTTGTTGAACGTATGTAGTTGTACATGTAACTAGTAATGACGTAAAAGCGATGAAACTTATGTTTAACCATAAATATCCTATTCCAGTCATTCTTATCAATGTATCTGGTGTGACTTTCAAATAAGATAAACTATTTTGAGCAGTTTGTTTTGCCTATTTTCAGAGAAACTACAGTTATTTCTCTTTATTCTTATTGGTGGTTGAAATATAACCAATCACAAATCAGTTTTTAGGTGAAATGTTTGATTGTTATCATCATACAGGATAATGCCAAGTCCATATGGTTTGTGACTCACAACTTTAATATTTGGTTTTTGTTATCCTCTAATGAAAGGAAACGATATATATATATATATATAACGGAGAACTATTCGCAGACTTCTGCTCCTTCAATGTTTTGGTAATCGGAGGCAGCGTGTACAAGCACAAGGATGTACACAAAGCAATATGGATTTCGCCTGACGGACACATCACAAACCAGATAGACTTCATCTCAGTATTGCTAAAGGAAGTGGAGACGCAGCCTGCTGGATACAAAGTCAAGAAGGGGAGCAGATGTGAACTGAGATTATCATCTAGTTTAAGGAAAGGAAGTTACATACTTTTATTAACTGCTGCCTTCGTCGGCTCCATACTGAAGATCAAATGGTCAGAAAGAATTTGTAACAAGAAATTCTGACTGGGAACAAACCAAACAAGAGTCGATCGCTCAACAAATATGTAGGAGAAAGTGGAGATGGATCGAGCATACATTGAGGAGGCCGTCGAATGACATCGTGCACAATGCAGGCTATCGCTCGAGTGGAATCCAAATGGGAAGCAACTAGTGGATCGTCGGTGTGAGGGTGACATGGCGGAGATCGTGCAAGGAGGAGATGAGAGATTACTGTCAATCCTGGACCCAGCTGAAGAGGACAGCAGAAAACAGAAGAAAGTGATGTGTTGTTGAAACCATATGTTCCACTCGGAACCCAAGGGAATAATAAATATATATAATAACTCATCATATTTTATTATGTCAAGGTGTTTAGGCTTCTAGGTTGACCTGTTGTGTCCCTCAGTTGACATCAACGAAGCGTTTCTATCACTAAATTCATGTACTTATATGTGACTTCTACCCAAATCAATTTTGTGCATGCTTACTGCTGTAACAGGTTCCCACTGTCTAGGTGGAGATTTTTTTCAAGTGTCTTTTCATTCTCTGAACAGTTAACTATCACTTGTTGATTTTGAGTACTTTTAAATTCAACTGCTAATACACTGTCCTTAGTCTTAACTTTTGCTATTCCGATTCAACGTTACTACATACTGGTAAACTACAGAGTTTGGTGAAATATAGAACGTGAAAACAGTTGGATTTCCGCATGTCGAATGAGAGACAGATCTTAATTCGTAATAAGTCATTACAAGAATCTTACTTTTATAAGAATGTATAGTCCCAGATAACATAAGTTCAGCGTAAAACTTAGTGACAAAAGTTCATTGGCTGAGAAATAATCTCCACTTTCTATTTGTTGATAGCTATTGATCTAGTGAAAAGATAACGGCTGAAACGCCTTATTAACACTTTTTCTACATGTGACGGTTCACATTGTCATAAAAGGCATCCATCCCAATCAAGTGATCAGAAGTTTCGTATACGGATATACATTCAACCACAGACTTTCATTATTCAAGTACAAAAGTTCAGAGTAGTGAAGAAAGATTAATTTAAATACTTCATTTTAACATTTGCCTATTCGCAAGTGAACTGAATATTTTCGTCAAGAATCCCTTTAGTAATTGTTTTTCTTTTTACTGTAAGAGTTTCGTCAAATCACCAACCTGGGTTATTATGATCGAGTGAAAGGTGAAGCTGTTCTGGAAGCCATAATTCTGCGAAATTTAAGAACAGCTCCTATTCCACCTGTAAATAATTTCCACCACATATAAACATTGGGAGATTATAAACAAAGAATGACTTAATCAACTTTTTATTGATTTTCAAATTCTCCCTGAAAACAAGTCTTTGATCATTTACTTTTTGTCTCCTCTATATATATGCAACTTATATCTTAATTTGGGAATCATCGGCAGTATGCACCCACTGGGGTTCGAATCCAGGACCTTCCGGTTACAAGGCAATATTGTAAACCATTCAGACACTGAGACCCGATTCAACGGTCCATGAATTCCAACTTCTACCAATTCGTGATTTTAGCGAGACCACCAACCAGTGTCTTCTGTGGGAAATCCATCCTCACTCCCGACTGGATGAACCTCACTGGTCACGACTTCTCACTAGAACCCCAGGAAACTCCGTCCTGGGTTCGAACTCCAGTGGGTGGGTACTGCCGGTGATTCCCAAACTAGCATGAAACAGCTTTCCAGTACTCCATGATTTTCATTGGTTCTCTAACGGACATCAATCCACGATCAAACTCCAAAAACAAATCTAATCCTTACAAATCAACTCTTGAAAATTATATCTTAATGTTTTCCATGAATTATAATAAAACAATTAGTATTATCTTTAATAAAAGTGATTCCCTTAAGCAAACGAACAGAAACATTCAACCGATTCCTTCCCAGGGACTGAGCAAATTTCATCTATATCTATTGTAAATGCCACACTAGGTATCTTTAATCGTACTTATGACTAGCGAATTCAACTTCATAGTCAATTTCTGGTTAGTGATGAGTTCAGCCAATGAAAACTATGCACCAAAGCACTAACTGTATGTTAATTTCAGTACTTAAGAAGCTTACCAAACAATCTCCTTACTTATTTCCGCAAAAGCCCACCGTTATTTCCTTAGAAATAACTTTTTATTGGTAAAAATAGGAATAATAAACATTCAGCGATAATGATTGCCTTCCAACTATACTGTGCCAGATAACCACATGATTCGTTCTTCAATTCGTCGAATACGTGAAGACCTAAACAATTATCGTTAAATGAAAACTTTTTAACTACGATATTTTTTAAGTATGGAAACTATTCATTCACTAAAACTTTATGGTAGCCTATAACCGTAGGATTAAGTTTTTCAAGACCCTTGATATATTCAAGTTCTTTCTGTGACAATTGTTTGTCTTAGTGATGTAATTGAACTGCAATGTATTTTATCTTAATTTTAATCTCTCACACTCCCTTTCCCCTATCTATTTGAACGTGACCTGAGAAACATTCACACCTGTCCTTCTGCATGATTGATTCAATGTAGTTTATTTGCTTATCAGTCTCGCAATATAATTCTAATGGTAATAATATCCATGTATATAGAGTATTCAGCTGAAGATTCCTACCGGAATTTGATGAATACATTAAGTCCTGCTATATTAAACTTTGTTGCTTGTTTTATATTCGTACCGGGAAATAAATGTTTCCAAAATCCTCCAAGTTCACACATTAACTTCTGAGACTGTAAATTTCATCACACCCTTTAAAACTTACCACGATAATAAGTGAAGTTTTAAAAGATTTAACGATATGCTGCGTAACTAAATTAGTGATGAATGGATGCCAAAATGTTATCGAGTGATTTCTAGTAGACAGTGTAGGTTTTCGGACTACTCACTTTATTTATACTGTCACGTTTCTCGTGCTGAACTCCCTCATAAACGACCTGGTAAGACCGAAGCAGGGGCGGGTAGACTTCTGTTTTCTTGTCGGAATACTCGCATTTGACCACATGTTCATGGCTCTGTCAGGTAAATACTACTAATTACCTTCACGCAGCGGGGGTGTTTCTCACAAAAGTGAAGGAGTGAATGAGAACGTTTGGCGCCTAAAATCGGACTGGTCGATATGCTGGTCTACCCAGGGGAGCTGGAAAACCCTGATTCCAAACCTATGGTGTACATAGCCCAGCATCCGAAGGGATCGAATGGAGTATGACTTGTTTTGGCCACCGTAACCATAAGACCACAGCTCCATTGTCCTGTGAACCCAACTTCAAGTCAAAGGCTCAAGACCCATAAGACACCCTCGCTTTGGTAGGGTATCCGATCAGTATCTCAGCAAGCTTAAAGTACGAGATTTTGTGTGGAGCATCTATTGATGGCCGTAATGTACCAAGTTTATGTTTTAATAAGAAATGTGCTGAATGCTGATAGTGATAAAACACAAATCAACTTTAAAAATGATGTGAACTATACTTATTACTCAACAGAAAACTGACCGACCTCAATAACTAATCGTGACTGTTCAGATACTTCGAGTAGCTGTTTTGTCAGTCAACTGCTGATTCTGTAGTTGTTCAGCATCTTTCTACCAGCTGATATACAATAAATTGATTAATATTTACTAATTCGCTTGAGATCCCAACCTCTAATTTCATTGCTTAACATATAAGACTACGTTTACAATTATCCATAGTTGCTAACACTGTGAAACCTCAACGTATATTGATTATATTTCTTCAAATAAAGCTTATCATTAACGCAAGGAGCGGTAGAAAGAAAAGGGGTTATTGTAATCAATTAAATGATGTCACAAATTATTAACTCCTCAGGAAATACTAAAACGACTAAGGTGACGGCTTGTGTAGTAGTAAGTGGAGGCTTATGTCGCGAATATTATTCACTAGTAATTCCACCTATAAATTTTGTTGTGACACCTACTAAACTGTGAGGTACAGTTTGTAATTGTAGAGGTACTTATGCGCTATATCAGCATACACAAACAGCGTACAATAATGCATCCCCACACATTAAATTTAAGAAAATGAAGTCATTAGATTTTGGTGTACTGACGATTGAACTTCCTTTTTCCAAACTAGAAGCGGTGGGAGATTCACACATCATTAATATACACCAAATGGATTCTCAGATTACGTAAGAGAGCAACTATTTAGTGTCGGTAAGCACATTCTTTAGTTCTGTTCTGTGCAGCCACTTCAGTTACCTGTTTAAAGATTATTTAGCTGTTTGTTGGCTTAAAGTTGACATTCTGCGCCAATTCGTGGTATCCCAATTGGCTTTTATTACACCTTGCAGATGACATGGAAAAATTATTTCTCAAGAGCCACATATTTCAAACGAATAGTGGAATAAGATAAAGTTGCTTAAGTTTCTAAATTGTTATATTATGTAAACCATAACACTATATAAGTATATATTAATAGTATTTGAAAGAACTGTACATTGTTAATAAACGAAAGTTTTTGTAATAATTAACGTCTGAATGTTCTTATTGTTCTCGTCGGGCTTCCGACAATTTGCAGATATCGTCCAAAGAGATATTTTTGACAAGACGACCCATACAAAGACCCTGAAAGAAGGAAATATGTTAAAATACAGTGGTTGGAAACGTTTACCAATAACGGAAAATGCTTTCAAACGTGAGGGGGGAAATCAAATGACTTTGAGCCACTGTAGCAGTATTCATTTTATGCTATTGAAATAGTTCTTGGCGTGGCAAATAAATGTTTCTGAGTATGCAAGCACCAAATTATTACTATTATTATTAGGTGGAGAGAGAGAGGTCAATTCACTGAGCTCCTGTCCATTGAGTCAACACCAAACACATGCAAAAGAAATGACTCAATACCTTTCCAGACATATGGAAAATTACTTCTTGAAAACTGAGAGAATAAAAGCTATATAAAGCAAGTTAAGGTGTCATGTGAACATATTATTGTTATTGATACTATTATGAGCAATAGATTGTGCTTGAAGCATTATCCAGTTATTTAAGGTGTATCACTGTGTTACATCAAATAAATTCATAATATGAAATCATATCCAGTTTGACAGGTCAGTAACAGTTCCGCAACGAGAAAACTAAATAAGGCAAGCAGAACACAGGAAATCGAAAATTTAAGTCCAGTGTGAAAGTCAAACGAAACGATGTAATGCAACTGGAAAGCAAAGCATTACTGAGGAGGGTGTCACCAAGATGACTGAAGTCCGACGACGGAATCCTTCTGGGCACATAAATTCAGTCTCAGTAGTTTTATTGCAATAACCTCAGCAAACCGAAGATTTTAGGTGTTTATTCTGTTAATTATTCTAAATGGTCCTAAAACAAACTATTCGACCACCCTAATCAAAGGCTCTCCGGTACATATTCAAAGAATCTGATATGGTGCCTACTTTCCGTTTGTTTTCCTGTCACTGAGTAGAGGTTTTAGGAGCGCTTAGACTACTTAGCAGACGAAATGCCTAAAATCTTCAGTTTGCTGAGGTTATCTCAATAAAACTACGGAGACCGAATTTGTGTCCAAAAGGATTCCATCGTCGGAATTCAGCCATCTTAGCAACATCCTTCTCAGTAACTCTTGCTTTCCAGTTGCATTACTTCGTTTTGTCTGACTTTCACACTGGCTAAATTTTTCGATTTTCTGTGTTCTGCTTGCCGTATTTAGTTTTCTCATTGAGCAACTGTTACTGCCCTTTTTAAACTCGTCAAGCAATGCCTTATTTTTAATGTTGCGAGCTTAATAGTTCTTCACGAAAACTTCTTTCTGATAATATATGTTGTATTACTAAGAAAAATTATCATCCTTATGTTTTATATCACTGAGACGTTTTCACAACATTCTTCATTGCAGAAGTGATTCTTATTGATAATAGGAAATGTGTTGAAATTGTATTATAACTCATTGCATTAAATGTTACAGGCCTACGCAAGTTGACAGGAATTAAGAAATAAGACGGACTCATGTTATTCTGCTCCGATGTTTGTTCTTTTTCTTCACAACATCTATTACTTTAGTCCCCCCTGTCATATTTTGATTTTTTAACACTTTGAAATGATAGTATTTTCGTCCATTTCTGATATTTATTTTGACAAGTATATAATTTAGACGACTACATATCGTCAGTACACTTATCTCTCTGAAGTCAGCGGAAGTTCAATAGGTAAACATGTTGCATTGTTCGAATGTTAAATGCTGGACAGTAAGATAATGCTTTCCCACTAAAACAAGTGTTCGTTGGATATCACCTAGGAAATATTTGAAACGTAAGCAACTACATAAAAAAAATAGTGCAAAACGGAACCATATAGGGTTCTGAACAAATTCTTACAGTCATTATAGTCATTTCACATGTGTTCTTTTCTTTATCAACCTGCTCTAACGTAGCGTACTCTCCTCTGTAGGCGCCATTGACAACAAGAACAGTTGACGAGGGTTCTGGAACCACTGTTTGTACGTGATTTTGATCCACTTTGATTTTTGTATGACATTCCAGTGTCCTTACGATAGCCTGTACAGTGAAATAAAGCCTCTATTATTATTATTATTAATATTAATATTTAGAAAGGAGCACTGCCTTCATTATAATTAAGGAATGAGCAAACAGGTAGTGAACAAGTTTCGAAGTTTTCAGTCATCAGCAATGAAGCGCTTGTATAACACTGAGAGATATCAGCAGTCATGTGGGCTTGTCGTTACATATCATGTGACTATCTAGTGGTTATTTCTCGCTACATGTCTTCCACATGCAGAACGTGTTCTTTGTCTAACAGAAACAGAATATATACAATAAGAATGATCCCATATCTGTTCTAGATATCTTGAACATGCAGATGTCTTAAGAAAAGAAGGGGAGAATCCAAGTTTTGAAGTTACCTTTGACGAGATTGTGAACAATAAGTTGAGTTCAAAATACCATCCTGTTAATAATACCATCTCATTATGCCATATCTAATTTAATCAATAGTATGGAATTACATACTACCATAGCGTCTTAGATTTACTCCCATATACAAAAGAACTTTACAAAGAACCCTCATTCTTTACTTGTGGTGAAATTTGCCGGAATATACTGCACTTTTTTGTAACACGCTACCTACATCCTACTTCAGAATTGAGTTCATATGGTAAACTGGTACGCAATTAAAAGTAGTTTCCATTAGGCTGAATTGTCACATTTTTATTTCTACTGTCTATCAAATCACATGCGGAAAAATTGTTAATGCATCTTTCTCAGCCACTGTTTCACAAATTACTAGCTTTTTCCTACCAATCTTAATACACAAATAACCTCACACCCATAGGAACCATCATTGTCCTATTCTCCTTTTAAACTTCCTGAACTCATCACTGACCACAAAGAAAAGTATTGACTTACAAAAATACTGCTTCTATTTGTCATGATGTCATCTTTAAGGTTGGTGAAATGTTTCTATCTATCTAATAATTTGGCTATGCCACTTTTTACGGGGATCACTACTCTCTTCCGCCATTTTTTAAAAACATTGTGGAAGGCATTAGGCCTGCTCATCTCGTTAACTGTTTAATTACCTGTCTTTTTGAAGCATGTTACCACGACCCAAATTGAACCTTAAGTTTTTCATGAAACCGAACAGACAAGTCAGAGAAGAACCTTGCACAGATATTCATCAGTTGAAGTTGTAACAAGTGAAGTTGACAGGAAAAGAAATGAACTGTCAGACCGAAAAGGACACTTATTCATTCAGCCATTGTCAGTTGGTTTGAGCAACGGAATAGTGTATATTGGAGTTCATGAGATGCTAAAAACCAATGGTTGAAACACTTAGTGACACTGTTCAGATTGGTGCATGCACAGTACATTTTACGTCTTTTAAGCTATGAAAAGCTCCACAAATCCTCATTAAAGCTTTATCTGTCAAATGCTTGTTTCTTCTGTCGGTACATCTATGTCCCCTTATTTCTTGTTTGTTCAGAGGATGGTAAATCCAGCTCCCATGTAAATTTTTAAGTTGATTAGACAAATAAGGAAATATACTTAACTTTGAAGCTTAGAAAAAGCTAATTGGTAAATTAAGATCGTTATGGAACTACAATGAACTGAAATGTACAGGAGGAACAATAAGTATACAGAGACTAGTGAAGATTAAATACATCTGTGAGATTATAAAGAGTAAATGCATCTGCACCATTGAGAACAATTTTGAACCATACCACCAAGTCTCTAACCATCGGTACTTAGCATCCCGGAGATCCCAACCACAGATTCTACACAACCTTCAAGGTTAAAACCAACAGTCAGAGACTTCACAGATCTATGTCGCGTTTCGGTCAAACCACCGTCAACGCGTTTTCCAACTCAACCCTATGTCAGTTAATACTGCACGTCGAGAACGGCCGTAGTTCGGCATGCGTAACACGTAGTCTAGGTAGCTAAATCGAAGTGGTTTCGTGACCTACCATCTTTAACTAAAATTACATCTAAATTCAATAGAAAGCGTGTATAGCTAGCCTCTCCAAGTCCTCCTCTTTTAACGGCCACGTCTCACAGTCATGGACGATGAAGTGAAGTCCCAAAAACAACCTTTGTACTTATGATTTCACTACAAAGCTGAGTCATCAAATAAATGAACCATCTACCCGCAAAATTTGACACTAGGTCTATAAGTCTAAAATATGTCAGAAAGTACTAAGAACAATGTCAGTAAAAACTAGAATATAAAACACTTATTCTTCACAAGAACGAACATACTGTGGGTATACCAAATTAAAATATTGCAAAGTACAACACATAAACATACCGTATAGTTATCCAGCATTTTTATAACTGTTGCATGTCTCCAGAGAAGATCATCTGGTAGTTTACGATTGATCAGTTTGACTTCAATTCCTTCTGTCATCCAATAGTCCCTCCGATTTCGTTTGTCTTTAAAAGCTTCTTCTTTTTCCATCAGCTCATCTAAAGCACGCCGACGAACTCCCGTTGTAGTACGTGAATCCTGCTTTTTCCCAATGACGGATTTAGACTTCTCTTCACGTGCTTTCTTTTCTGCGAGCAAAAGAGGGTTCTGAAAGTTAAAGCGTACAAAATATCAGACTGTTAGGGTTTCAACCTGATGTGAATCAGCGGTATTAACATTATTGTCTAAAAGACGAAGTAATTAAAATAACTGATAGAATACTTGCTTAAAACCCAGCTCCAACAAAAAAATTCACTTGTTAAAATGCAGTGAACTACGACTTCATTAAACTGAAGTGATAACAACTGACATTAAATGAAATGTGACCGCTTACTACAGGTTTTTCCTTCTTTGGACCTAACGTCATGAGACTTGGAGTTTTTTCTTCCGAGGCACCTGGATTTTGGCTAGCACTATCGTCCACTGCTTCAGATGGCGGCTTCTTCTGAGATAATGATATCCCCAACCGTATTGGTTCATCTTCATTTGCACGAAGAAGAGGAGTGTACAAGGGACCCTCAATTTGTTCAACCTTGCTCAAATTCTGTTCTATCTGGCGTTCTATCAAATAATATACGTTTAGGGTGAATAAGATTTACCTAGAAACTTCCTATTAATCTCATCTTCTGTTTTTTCCAACCGTTCGTTCATTTCCTGCCTCTTTTCTTTCTCTGGATCACGATCAATATATTCAATGAACCAGCCCTTCTCAGTTTCATCCACTTTGCAAATACCCTGTTTCCCAAGCCACATGCACAACCCTGTAAGTGTGTGCCATCGTGTGGCGTTCATGTGTATATGCTCTTTGTCTTTAATGTATTCCTGATAAACAACATTAGAATGCACGCGTTTCCCACCGAACTGACGACGCAGTATGTCAAGGTAGCCCTTTAGGAATTCAGACGAAAAACTGCTAATAAATTTCCCACCATCCTCGGCAAATAGCTTCATTTGTCTGTGATGAGACTCAGACATTGTGTGACATTTGTATCCATTCTGGAATTTATCAATATATTATGAATGCACCAAAAACCTACCTCATCTCTACATTGTTTTTGACACATCTGACAGTACCATCGTAGTTTTTGCAGACCTTTGGCTTTGATTCTGTTAGCTATTGCCTTCGGAGTTAAGAAACCTGCCTTTTCTTTAGTCATTTTAGTGATACCACTTCCACTGAAATAGAAGTCTGAAGGTCAGGGAATTAAGCGCGCTCAGTCAGTCCAATAGTGAGGGAAACGAGCTTAGTACATTCTAACATACTTAATTCATTTTCAGTGAATAAAGAAACAGAGGCAATCCACGTTGATCGTAAAAATAAATGTGAATATTTGAAAATTCAGTCTGTGTGTAGGTGAAAATGTGAAAAAATGCTAACTGGTAGCTATTTGTAAGGCTTAAGTTTACGTATATCTCGAAATAAGTATACTTTTTATTCGCGATGTTAACTTTGTTACCTTGAATCAATCTACTTTGACTAGATCTGCGATTGCAAAATACAATGGCTAGGCGAAAAAGCCCATATCATAATCAGGAGTCCTGTGAATTATTTGTCGGTACTATAAGCAATATAAATAAGGAATAAAGTGTTCAGAGACTGAATATGAACACGAGGACTGTAATGCTGACGGTATAAGACATGTTGATAAGTCATTCACACCAAAAGGATTATGAGTGAACTAGACTTTGCACATGTCTATTCCAGGTTATTTGAACAGCCTAGCAATGTCTATGCCGTCAGTTACACCGCTCTAGTCAGTGCCGTAAACGTATGGCATGCCTAGTTCAATATATCAAAGAAACATAAGTTGTACGTTACACAGATGTATCTTCTATACTCTTGTTAAATCATCTGCTGTCGTGGTCTGCAACACTGCCCATCACTGGTAGCTGAACCTTAGTGTTTAAGTCTACGGGACGGGAGGGAGGTATGTCGTGAAGGGTGAGCACCATTTGGTAAGCTATCATACAGTCGACGAGGGACATCCCCTATTTACTTCATGACAAAGTTATCTACAATGTGCCTGCCACCATCTGTGAAATATTCAGTGAGTGGTTTGCAAACTTCAGTTTAGAAACGCACATTCATGGTGAAACCGGCCCCCTTACTAGCTCTTTACTCGGAAGCATAGTGTTCACCAACCAATTAATAGAACAAGCAGTTAAAACCCTGAAATCTTCCACTAGCACGGGACCAGATGGCCTTTCTTCTATAATTTTCAAAAACAGTGGGTGTGATATACCCCTACTACTTCTTAAATTCTTCTCAATATCTATGGACACTGGCACTTACCCTAATCAGTGGAAAACTAGCTTCATAATTCCACACTATAAATCCGGTGATAAGGCAAACGTCCGCAATTACAGACCTATAAATATAACCCCAGTTGTCTCGCGAGTCATGGAGAAAGTCGTCAAAGATCAGTTGTCAGACTATCTACCTAAGGAAGATCTTGTTACAAGGTCTCAACACGGATTTCTCAAAAATAGGTCTTGCGTTACTTGCCACTTCGACTTTTTCAACTGCATCACTAGTAGTCGCGAAGCACGTAAGCTAGTTGTTGTTCTCTACTTCGATATATCTAGGGCATTTGACATGGTATCTCACAGTATTCTCTTTGAGAAGCTGTATTCATGTGGGATTCGCAATCCATTACTGAACTGGTTGAAATCGTTTCTAAGCAACAGGGTACAAATAACCAAGGTTGGATCTGTATTGTCTCATCCTAGGCAGGTCGCAAGTGGGGTTGTGCAAGGTAGTGTCCTAGGTCCACTTTTATTTACAGTATACATTAACAGCATTTGCAACTGCTTCACCTCAGGTAAATCATTCCTATATGCTGACGACCTCAAAGTCGTTTACTCCTGCTACGCTCATGAACTAAGCGATATGGTAAATAAAATACATCTTGAACTAAGTAGTCTCGCAACACGGTGTACTGAATCCTGTCTAAAGTTCAACATTGATAAATGCGGCTGGATTTGTATCGGAAACAGTAACCTTGACCTGAATCTTGAAATAAATGGGCGTAAACTAGCCAAGCTCAACTCAGTCGTAGATCTCGGTATCAGATACTCTAGTAACTTAACGTTCTCTGAACAAACTGATTATGCCAGACGTAAAACACGAAGGCTCCTAGGATGCATAACTCGCAATTTCTTTTGTTGTGAAACTAGGGTTTTATTATATAAAGTATGTGTCCGACCTATTTCAGAATACTGCCCGTTTATTATTAGCGGACTCAGACAGAATGACAAGCTTAAGTTAGAAGGAGTGCAACGGCAATTCACCTCAAGAATTCTTGGTTTAGAAAGTGGTCTCCAATACTATGAACGTTGCGACAGACTAAGTTCAGAACCACTCTGGAAAAGACGTCTTAAGCTAAACCTGATTTTTTACTACAAGCTAACTAATCTGCTCGTGCACTCCTCCAAGCCAATAATTAAACCTACCGCTGTCATCAGTTACAATCTTAGAAATCATCACAACCTAGTTGCTATAGAGCATTGTCAGGCTTACATGCGGTATAATTTCTTCTTAAATAAGTTTTCAGTCATTTGGAATAGACTACCAGCTGATGTGCGCGATGCAAACACACTCGCAGTGTTCATCTCCTCAGTCACCAGACTGCTCAAAGATGACAGTGCACTTCTGCATCTGAATCCTACACCCACTTTTTCGTCCAACATAGATATTTTAAGTTCATTAAACGTGTAGTTACAACAAACTACAATTATAAATTTTTATATTATTGGAAGTACATGATAGACATTTTTACACAGGACAATAATATTAGTTCACACAATATAAAAGTTAGCATCACGGGGATAGTTAGTTAGTGCACCAAAATAACTATAATTACTAAACAGAATATAAATGGATATATACATATTAATCACTCCCTAAGTACTCCACTTGCTTGCTTTTGCGTTGTTGTTGTTTGTCTTCTTTTGTCTCTCACCATTTCAGCTTCCATTTAACTTTTTGAATGAGAACGAAGAATGTAGATATTTGCCCATTTACAATGACAAATGATCTGCAAACATTATTGGCCCTATATCTTACAATTCCCTCGTGAATTGCGCATTGCCTTCACCAACGACGCACCCTGGATTACATTTGTGAAATATACCTTTATACCAATAAAGAAGTATTGATTTATAATACTTCACGGTTGTAACTTACAACGTAACTGATCATGTCTGCAAAATTAGCTTGCATTTCTTGAAAACACCCGTTTATAAGAAAATTTAAACTGTCATTATTATTAGTCTACCTTGAGTACAATTCACTTGTGATGTTACGATGAAAATGCTGACAAAAGTATACAAGTGTATTACTTATTTTAAATTATTATCAAATTTGGATATAAATCAAGAATAAGACTCGATGCCGTACACACCAAAGTTATATGGAAGAATTACTTCAAGCTTTATTTTTTCCCAAGTATTTGTAATCCATCCAAAACATACTTGGGTTTTTTGTTAATGCGAAGACAATATTTCTATATTTCTTGATGTGCTCCATTGAATGACTAGTTATCATATTGCTCCCATAGACAAAATGACTGCAACCTTATAATTTTACCATGAACCAAATTTTTGTACTTTAGATAATACTTATCCATGCCTGTACAATTGGTGTGTCCTACACAGGTAGGAAAAAATGTATTTTATTAAATTATTATTATTAAATATGTTTACTAATCGTATATGTAATTTATCATATTGATGATGCCTGTAAACTGGCGTCCCTCATGTACAAAATGAGAATATACTATTATTATTATTATACCATAGACGTCTCTCATTTTTGTACGATACAGGTGCCACACCCATTTCGCCCACGAACTGTCTCCCGCTCAGGTAGAAATGGGGATCTGAGTGTCGTAGGACTAGATCTGTGTGCCGTTGTATCACCAGCAGTTATCCGTCTACGAGACTTCGTAAAATGGCAGCACAACATTCAAAACTTGACCATACTCGAAAATTCTTGTCCTGCTATTCACCGACAGTTATTTCTCAACTATAATGGATAATTCTCATAAAATAAAACCAACGCAAAATTCGTCTGACTACTGAGTAACCTCACAAATGTTCTGACATCCAAATATTTGTGGTCTTCGACGTAAAATAGCATTTTGAGCTGTTCGAAGTTTCTTATATTCATGTGCAAAACATTCCTCAGTCACTCGTGTATAGTCATGGCAACGTTTGTAGTGACCTGCATAACTGGATGGATCCTGTCTCATGAAATATATATTACTTTTAACGACCCTGCACCCTTCAATGTGATCGTTGTGATTAAAGCAAAGCATGCAGGTTACGCCATTAGCTAAAAGTAAAAGTATGTTATTAACTGCCATTCCCAGGGAAGCAGACTGATAACGAGCGACTCGTAGCACCCAGAAAATAACAGAAGGCAAGTTTTGGAAGGATTGTGGAGTCTGGAACTACACGATTGTGCAGGATTTTGCACGGACCTCTCATCCTCACCCGAAGCTATTCTACAACCGGTGCACAGCTTCTACTAGTAGACATAGACTCCGTCAGTGAATACTATTGTGGATTATATTTATAATTTGTAGCAGTGGGCTTAAACTGTATAAGCAAGTAACCATTAATCTATATAAGTCATTAATTATATTTTTATGATATACCGTTACACTATCATTCGATTAACTCGGACTTTTATTCAATAATTTGTTCTGTTACCAAGTTCGCTATAAAGTACCCTACTGGACAACTCATTCAGGAAAATCTCAGCAAGATACTCTGGATGGGCTGAGAGAATTTGTACTAATTCATTTCGGGAAGAAATCACACCCACTAAGTGGTATGCAGTAGGTGTATTGTGTCTGTGTAGTGTATCGGCGTCTGAAACATTCACTTTGCCTTTAGATGAACAAACAAATGACACGATGACAGATATTTTCCTTAAGCTAGATAATTAATCTTTTAGGCCAACCGACGAAAGCTTTAAAGGTCTATTCCACAGGAACACGATAGTCATAGTCAAACTGTTGAAACCAAGTAAAGTGAAGTCCATGGGTTGTGGCCAGTTTCAACAATATGCTTTAAAATATTTCTCATTGTCGTCTGCTGCCCTTTGCGAAATTTGTTTCAACACACTCCCAACAAAGTGGAAGAGAGACATTCTCTCTCTTACTTATATGACTGATGATCTTAGAGCTGTAGTTCTACTCACCTAAGTGTCAAAACTTTTTGA